ATGTGAGGAAAACCGCCCACATCTGGTGTCAGAGAAGCAGTGCTGGAGTGGAGTGTGGACAGTTGAGGAGACACACAGGAGCGAGCTTTCCCTTCTGATAAAGGCACACTGGAACTTGAAGCAAACAGGATCAGTCGGGGGTCTGGGGGCAAAGCGAGGGCTCAGGGAAGCTCTTGTGCTCTGCACGCTGCGGAACTGGAGAACCCCACAGGAAGAACTCTGTTTATACAGTAAAGCTCTGTGGCTCTCACTCCCTTTCCCTTCCATGAATACTCTCTCTCCATCGTGGCACACAGGCCCAGTGTGCATGTGCCTCGCCCTCTCTGCTGGCACTTGGTTGCAACACTTCCTCCACACCCCCCACCCCCTCAACCGTTTTTTGGTGACAAAACACCTAGTCAATGTTATTTTTCAGTCAACACTTAAAACTTTACAACGAAGCATCAGAAAATGTGAGTTTCTGTGCCAGTGGTGTTCTCTGGACATGGTGTGTCCTAAAAGCTGGTGAGCTTCTGTAAGTGTGGCAAGCGTCATCCTTACAAAATGACAAACAAGGATTCTCTGTGCACCCAAGAAAAGCAGCACTGTGACAGGAAACGGTGGCTGTGGGGGGCAGACTAAGCTCATCTCCCAGGAAAAGTCTAAAACTATTGTACAAAAGAGATTGTCGGGAGGCAAAATATATGAAGGGAAATCTGAAAGAACTAGACAAATTTACAATCACAGTTGGAAACTTCACCATTCCTACCAGTAATAGAACTAGTAGACAAAATCATAAAAAATACAGAAAACACCACCATTCAGCATTTAAACTCGACATGTATAGAACACTCCATTCAACAACACAACAACAGCAGAACACATAGTTTTAAAGTGCACATGGAGCATTTATCAAGATAGACCANTGTGGTTAGTAGCTTTTGTACTGGACAGCACAGCCTAAATGAAGTTTATTTTTGTTTGAATGACCTATCAGTTACTGGGAAATGGGGTGTCATAATCTTCCACCATAATGGTGGTGAACACTGTTTTTGTTTATCCAAAGATGTCTTTATTTTAAACTTCATTCTTTTGAATAGGATTTTGAAACATAGACTTATATACACTTGTACCAGGCATTATTATGATAGTTTTATAAAAATTAATGTTATAGTGATAAGTTCAGTCTCTTTTGACTTTTCCATCTTTTGTCTCCTGCTGCTGCAGATATTTGCGAGCCTGTCTTTTTGCTATAGCACAGGAGGTACGCAGGTATAATATTTTTCAGTCTGTAAACGATAATGCTCATATCTGCTGCTCCTGTTGGTCCTTTCCACTGCCCTCCCTCCTTGTGTGCCTGGTCATCTTGCAGGACATGCATGATTGTGTTTGAAAATTATTTGTAGGAATAATTTGAGGCCTATGGTCTCCAGAAAAGATCGTAGTTTCTTGTGTTGGGTGCCAGTGGCACTGTCAGGTTTTAATGTCACCCTTTCTAGTTATCTGTGGTGGGAGGGTTGGCCCAGTAGCCCACTGTTATCAGAACTGGGGGTCCTATTCTGTTCACTCTGCAGCCGCTGTGATCTGGTTCCCCACCCCATGCTCCGCTCTATTACCCACGAGACAGCCCGGCTGCCCAGTGCTGAGTCTGTCTCAATCGTCATCCTACCCACCTCTGTCGTATTTGGCAGTTAATTACTCTCTGCCTTTCTGAAACTTCCCTCAGCTTCTGTCCTGGTCACTTTTCCACTTTTCTCCCTGTTCTTTCTGTCTCCCTCTGCACTCTTGGTCCTCTGCCTGCCTGCTCAGTAAGCAGTGGTGTCTGCGGGGACTCAGTCTGTGCGTTCTCTCCTCTGACTGCATTTCTTCTGGGTGACCTGATCCCCACCTGAGCCTCAGCACCCACCTGTTCGCTCACAGCCTCCTCTCCAGTTCCTCCTCCCCTGAGCCCCTGATGAAGGTTCAGCCGCTGCCTGCTTGGTGGTTCCAGGAGCATCTCACACCTGAGGCGCCAGCACCCCTTCCTCATCCTCGGGCGGGCCTTCTGTCAGAGGACATCACTACCTGCTCCAAACATCTGTGGGAGCCGTAGCCTCCCCTTTGCTTCCCAGGGCCGCATCATGGCCTTGTCTGTTCACCTACCAGTCTAACCCAGTGTTGCTGGGCTACGTGCTCTGGAGAGGCCTGTTCAAAAGCATCCTTGGTACGGCATCCGGCTGGTCTGTGTGGGTGACAGTGCCCAGGTGAGTGAGCACCCGCCCAGCTTTCTGAGCACTGCCTCGTCTTTGCTCGCCTCTCCGCCCTGCCATCAATGGTGGGTTACCCACTTGGGCTCTGCCATATTTCCCTAGCAGGCCCTTCTGCCCCCACCTCCCTCATCTAACCCGTCCTTCACATTTGTGGCTAGAGGCCTCATTCCTAAAATACAAACAGGACTGGGCCATTTTTCAGTAAAATCCTTCAGTGAGTCTTGATTTCCAGGACAAGTAAAATCTCCTGAGTTTTGCATAGGAGTTCTTTCTCTCACCCTTGCTACCTGCTCTGG